GTAGCTTTATTGATTACAATAAGAAATTGTATATAATTTAATTAGTATTTACGTGTGGTTTTTTGGCTATTTACGGCACATCGTATTAAGCATCTTATAATATAAAGTTAATCTGCATTTGTGTTAAGTTTTACTCCAAATCGTCAGTCCCTAGAGCGTCAGGCCCTAGCTTTAAACGGCACTTGGGACTAAATTACTAGTTAGGGAATGATGTTTTTTATATAGTGATAATAACAAAACAACTACATTATGTATATTAACTTATCTATAAATGTTAAGGTTATAAGTTTTATACTTTATTAGAAGTCATATAGGAGTAATGTAGTATGAAAAAATTGAAAATTATAATTTCTCCTAAAATAAAGCATAAAGTGACTGGCCCTTTTAGACATAACATAATTAATCAATAAACTATAATTTACACTAATAAAGTATTCAAAAGCATCTTAAAAAAGATACGGACAAAATGACGTCGAAAATATACAGATTTTTATGGAATGACCCATAAAAATATTAACATATTTATACACAAACTAATTCAGAGAAACTGTTGATCATTTGTTTATCTAAAACTTATTTGCATATTGAATTGGGTACAAAAGGCGAACTTAATGCCATATGGCATTTAACTCCAGTTAACCCTTTTACGGCAGTGGGAATATAGTTCCCACCATATTTTAAACTTTATTTTCTGTCAATTTCTGTCTTTGAAGATGCATTTTGGGTGTATGCTATGTACAATAATATTTATTTATAAAAAAAAATCTAATATGGCATTATAATGTCTGGTACACAAATAGTTCATGGCACCCAAAGTAGTCAAAAAGTTAAAGGTAAATACAGGACTTTCTACTTCTGCAACTCCTGTGTAGCCAGGATCTACAGCTTGACCATATTTAACATCTATACAGTGAAAGTCAAGTTTTTCCTGAGGAAAAGTTAAACTGTCATTGGAACCTAAGGCTACTGTAATTATTTACAAGACTGTAGCGGACTTAGTGACTACTTAAGGCATTTTTGGCAAAAAAAATAAATCAAATATTTTACCCACCAGTTATAGTGTGCAGATTGGAAAGATTTTTTACTGTAATCTAATCCCCATTAAAAAAATACAAATATTTGTAAAATCCAATTTAGTCAAAATATGTTTTGTCTCTGTCATTATTTACAATTTGAAATTGACAAGAATAAGACAAAACATATTTTAACTAAAATAGATTTAGCAAATGTTTGTATTTTTTAAGATTATAAGAGTAAGGCTGGGTTGCATCATCTTTCTTTTTTATCATATTTATTAAAGCTTTCAAAATTCAAAATTTATTTATTTGGAAATAATAGCACACTTTAAAATCCACAGTTAAACAGTCTTATTTAATTAATGTTGGTATTTCTCTTGATTGTGGCCCCACTTGGGTAAAAGCCTCCTCCAACATTTTCCATCTTTCCCTATCGCTGGCTATAATAATATCATCTTTCTATAACTTTAGCAAATGTCTAAAACCTGCCAAACTCCATAAAAAAACACCGGTTATCATTATAGTTATGGTTAAAGTTAGATGATGCAACTCAGCCTAAGAATTTTAATATCCTACTTATATTATAAATGCGAAAGTTTGGATGTCTGGATCTGGGTTCGAGGATATATATCAAGGGATATATATCAAGATATATATTGGATATATATCAAGCCGGTTTTGATGATATATATCAACTTTTAAAAATTGTTGCTGTATTTGTACTTTTTGACAAAGATTTTTATTTTTTTTAATTGATTTTGCCGTATTTAAAAGAATATTTTATGTTTTTGCTTTATTTGTCTGATTTTAAGTTTTAAAAACATTAAAAACATGTTAATGTAACACATATGCAACAGTATTCACGAATAATACAATAAAATAATAGTATGACTTTCATACAAACTTGATATATATCAAAGTTGATATACAGGGTGTTTGGCGCATCGTGTGCCAAAATTATTTGGCGGATAGAATGGGTCATTTCCTATATTTTCAGCCCCCATAACACGTTCCATGCCAGGCGGCTACTTTTATATGATTTTTTTTAGTAATTTCACCAAAATACCCAAATCGTATCATTTAATTTCGATTTTAAAAAAACTACTAGGCATAGCCTCAAAGTAAATATTTTGTTNTAGTTATGGTTAAAGTTAGATGATGCAACTCAGCCTAAGAATTTTAATATCCTACTTATATTATAAATGCGAAAGTTTGGATGTCTGGATCTGGGTTCGAGGATATATATCAAGGGATATATATCAAGATATATATTGGATATATATCAAGCCGGTTTTGATGATATATATCAACTTTTAAAAATTGTTGCTGTATTTGTACTTTTTGACAAAGATTTTTATTTTTTTTAATTGATTTTGCCGTATTTAAAAGAATATTTTATGTTTTTGCTTTATTTGTCTGATTTTAAGTTTTAAAAACATTAAAAACATGTTTATGTAACACATATGCAATGGTATTCATAAATAATACAATAAAATAATAGTATAGCTTTCATACAAAATTGATATATATCAAAGTTGATATACAGGGTGTTTGGCGCATCGTGTGCCAAAATGATTTGGCGGATAGAATGGGTCATTTCCTATATTTTCAGCCCCCATAACACGTTCCATGTCAGGCGGCTACTTTTATATTAAGTTTTTTAGTAATTTNTTTTGTTTTTACGTGCATTGATGTAGGGTTGCATCAAATCTAAATTTACTGGCAAATATCATCTAGTTTTTTTTTAAATTCAGCTTTGAAGTTTTCCGAAAAGTTAAAAATGGACTGAACAATTAAGTTTACATGGCTATAATAAAAAAAATAAAAGAGATAGCGATCTTCGGATTTTATCAAAACTTTTCTAGTCTATCCCCATTCAAACGGTATACTAATCTTGTTTAAATAATAACAACAACTTCACAAATTCCTTAAATTAGTGCATTGACTCTACTCGGACTGATATTCAAATTTTGAATTTTGAACCTTTTTTTTACTTTATAATAAGTTCAAAGCAGGTAAAAACTTCAAAAAATATTTATTTTGAGGCTACACCTAGTAGTTTTTTTTTAAATTGAAATTAAATGATGCGATTTGGGTATTTTGGTGAAATTACCAAAAATTAATATAAAAGTAGCCGCCTGGCATGGAACGTGTTATGGGGGCTTAAAATATAGGAAATGATCCATTCTATCCGCCAAATCATTTTGGCACACGATGCGCCAAACACCCTGTATATCTGATATATATCAAAGTTGATATATATCTGATATATATCATAAATATCCGATATTTTAATATTTATAATAAATATCGGATATTTTCGAACCCTGGTCTGGATGTTTGTTACTCTTTCACACAAAAACTACTGAACAGATTTTGTTAAAACTTTACAGTATCATTGTTTATAACCCAGAATAACATATAGGCTATAATGTATGACGATCTGTGACAAACTAAATTTCACACAAGAGAAGCCGCGGGTAAAAGCTAGTTAATTAATAATCACAAGTGGTAGAGGCTTTTGATTATACCGTGTTAACTTGTAGAGATTATATTCCAATAGGAAAAGTGCATTAGTGATTCTAACAACAACAAAATATTCTTACTAGAAGTTTCTCTGGTATTTACTGCGAAATTAAAATGCATTGTTCTCTCACAAATGCACTTCGTTGGAAAACTTACATTACCATGTTAATTTGTCTTCGTGACATTGGAGCATGTGATTTTGATGAATTTCCTTATCGTACATTTATTCTATTAGAATTCATTATTCTAATTTGAAGAATAAATGAATTCTCTAATAAGATACCAATTGGTTTTTGTGTATTGCAAAAAATGATCTTTTAGGCTGAAAAAATATGTTGCAAAACTTTTTTTTGTTGCCCAAAGTTGAGTAAAGTCAATTTGCGCGTCTTTCGCTGGGCTACATGACGTTTTTCAGCCAATTTCGGCTGAAAAAACAAAAAAAATAATGCGCCAAACAAATAAAACTCGTGCGCGGTGAGTCATCGCCAGGGATGATATGGGTCCGGATGACTGCAAATGCTATAACCAGATGGAAAAACCCAAATACCTTTAGTCTTACCCATAGTTGTGACGTTATAATCTGCCTGGGTGAAGTGGAGACTGCAAACTTTGGAATACTTCGTGTAAGGTTTGCCGCGCTTCAGAATTAGATTCCATTTATCAGCCATGTTCTCATCGCGCGGAAATCGGTGAAACTTCACGTTTTTCGTCTTGCCGGCGAGCGATGTGCATTGTGGTACCGTGCAATAATAACCCATCTTGAGCAAATCGGAAACCTTTGTTGTGACTTGTTACCAGTCTTGGTTATGTGCGGCGCCGATTACCGCTCGAGCACACTTATTTCACATCCAAACACTTGAAACTGGTTACGTTCTGCGTAGAAAACTGAATTATTTGTTGCAATCGTTATCACGTTGCTAAAAAAATGGAATCATCACAGTGCAGCCTTGAAAAATTTGACATGTATCACCTTTTTTCCCTTCCCCACTTCCCACTTTTTCAGAAAAAAAATGGCCACTTCCACCATAGACAACCGTCAGATGGTCGTCAAAATACTGCGAGCAACCGCGAGCAAATAGGACCAAGGCGAGCAAGAATCTCGCAGATACAGCCTACCACATTACGAATTTTTTTACTTTACGAATAATGTTTACATAAATAAATTGAAACTGCAAAACTGCAAATCCACGCAAACTTCTCGTGGTTCTACAAAATTGATAGCAATGTTCCCAAAACGTTTCCCATCTTCCCATGTAGCCAATGAGCTGTCAATACTTACAGGGACGGGTCTCGCCTCGAACTCTCGACTAGAATACATACAGAATACAAATAAAATACTACAGAATACAGAATGTCCTCGCTCTAATGCTTTTGCGATACAATAACGTTATACCGGTATTTTAATTTCAATAGACAATAGACGATTCCATCAAATATTTTTTCAAAATGGCAACAAACAAATTACCTTTATTTTGATATGTCGGCGCTTGGTGTGTTTACGGAGTTTTATTTGTTTTGCTAAGTTTGTGCTAATTAAATCAATTGCGGGGGCATTAGCTATGGTAATTTGTGTTCTCCAGTGTGTTTTGAGCTAACAAAATGCCGTATTACTGCACGGTGCCTCGGTGTACGTCCATGGCTGGAAAAGCTAAGAATGTTTCGTTCCACCAATTTCCAAGGGATGAGGAGCTGGCTAAACTCTGGAATAGAATACTGAAGAGAGGCAAACCATACACAAAGTACTCTAAAGTGTGCAGTTTGCATTTCAAACCAGAAGATTACACCATAACTAGCGTTGGAAAAAACAGAGGTAATGACGCGAAATTTCCTTGATTGTTCGTATTCCTACTTCTGTCGGACTTAAAAAGTAATTGGGTCATTTATTTAGTATTTATCTAGTTAATTGTATTGCATGCAAGTCTTTGTAGGCCCCTATCACCAAATTAAACTATTTTATGGTTCTGTTCACTGCTTTGTAAAAAGGTCTTAGAAAAAAAACACCATGCCAATTGTGTTGTGGTAACCAGACACAATAGTTTATGGAGTCAGAAGAGTAGGATATTTTCATTGTGTAATATGATTAATAATGTTGTGTAATGTCTGGAACTAGTGACCCATATTTCTGTAACATTTTCAACATAGAACTTTATTAATATCTTAGAATGATAAGTGATGATGAATAACACATTTCTTCAGCTTGTAGAGGCTGCTGTCAATTTTACACTCTTTAAGCTGGCGAGTTATTTATTAACAAAACTGAAAAAAAAAAAAATTTATTGTTCTCCATTTGTCAAACCGGGCAGCATGGAAAGCATTGGGGGAGGCCTATGTTCAGCAGTGGACGTCCTATGCCTGAGATAATGATGATCTGTCAAACTTCAGTCTTTAGCTTGCCAATATCAAAAAGTCTTCTGTTCCAAATTGTACCAAGGTAAAATAATCGAAAATTAAAGCTGATAAATCTAATAACTAACCGCCTCTGTGGTCTAGTGGTTAGACCACCTGCTTCAGACACAGAGGTCCCGGGTTCGATTCCCAGTGGGGGCAGAATTTTCTGTTCGGTTTGGTTGGTGGTAGGGCTTGTTCCAAGTCCGCCTGGCTAGCTACCACCATCTTACCTAAGTATGTCGCCATAACATCAATGTTAACAGCATTGTTGTGTTCCGGCAGTTAGAGGTAAGATAGCCAGTTCCTCTGTGATTGAGGATTTTGGGTGAAACCAGCCCGGCAAACTTGGGAAGTGTAAGCCAAGTCCTGAATTTACTTTTAGTAAATTAGAAAGGGAATTAATGGGAGGGAAAAAGATGTAGGAGGCTTAGGCCTCAGCCTCGAACTTAGCGGGCAGCGGGGCGGCGGCGGCGGCGGGGCGGGAGCGGCAGGATCTTTTGCATAAAATCAAATAGACCGGTTCTCGAAAACAGCGGCGCGGCAGCGGGGCGGCAGCGGGCAACGAGCGGGCAGCGGCGAGGGAGCGGGCAACGAGCGGGCAGAGCGCACTCCTTCTTTTGCCCACAATAAATCGAGCGTTAGGAATAAATTTGAATCGAAATAAAATTGTCGCCGTTGTTCAGACATTTCGTTTGCGAATAAAAACAAATATCTCGACAACACAACCCCGAACACAACACTTCGCCGCTAAAGCGCCGCGCGAGCTGCCCGCTTGTTTCGAGAACGGGTCTGCGTTGCCCGCCCCGCTCCAGCGCCGCCGCCGCTCCCGCCCCGCTGCCCGCTAAGTTCGAGGCTGAGGCCTTAGAGATAGCTATTGCAGGAAGAAAGTTAAAATAATAATTGCTTCTGCAATGGAGGACAAAGAGTAATAACAATAAATAAATAGCTTTATTTTCCACAAATAGCCCACCTTTGGGAGGCCTTCCCATCATTTCTCTTCCCTTTTGGTGGTGAACTGGGCGAAAATTGAAAGGTGAACCATAGCATCAACAGAATGGATGGGCCATTCTGTTGATACTATGGTTCACCTTCTATCTTTTTACCTAGGTAGCTGTCCAGCCCACTGCTATTTAAGTTTGAAAACTTTTTTAAAATTCACAAACATTACTATGAGGTCTCCTAGTGCGTGTGCGCAGAGCTCTATTCGATTTGCTGCTTCACTTAAGCAAGCATTGTTTGTGAATACTGGTGAAAGAAACAAAGAAAAAATTATTTATTTGGTATCAGAGATATTTACAATACAATTATTTGTACCAAATTGGTCTCTGCTCAGTAAGAGGATTGACATTATTTAACTTTTGCAACATAATGTTTCAGGCCAATGGAGAACCTTACGTAAAGACGCAATACCGTCGCAGAACCTACCATCGGATACGCCAGCGCCGTACCACAGGACCAGAAATACTGGCTCGTGGGTGCCAGGCAACATACCACACTCCATGGGGTTGGATCCACAGGTAGATAGTCAAAGTCAAAGTTTTTTATACCCTTTCCAGGATGCTTATAAACATCCCAAATAGCCCCTTTATACATTACTAGATGACCCGGCGAACTTTGTTCCGCCTTAATGGCAATAAATAACGGGATAAAAAGTATCCTATGTCCTTCTCCTGGCTCAAAACTACCTCCCTGACAATTTTCAGCTAAATCGGTTCAGCCGTTCTTGAGTTATAAGCGAAGTAACTAACACGACTTTCTTTTATACAGGGTGTTTCTTGTAAGGTGTCAAGCCGAAGGCAGGTGATAGGTGAGGACTAGACCTATCGATTTGACCCCCATGTATGTTCTACGATTTTTCATAGTTTAGAAGTTATCGTCAATTTTGTGATTTTTTCAAATTGTATGACCCAGTAGGCTTTAAATTTTTTTATCTTTTTTTTGGGTCGACTTTTCTCAGATTTCTTTTTTTTGACAGATTCCCTATTAATTGAAGATTTTTGAAAAAAATAATCAACTTCCTATCTTTGATGCAAGATACAAAATTTTTGCTAGAAACATAAAAAATATGCTATTAGCGGAACATTCTAAAATTTTCAACTTAAAAGTTAAAAAAAAAAAAACTTTTAAGTTGAAAATTTTAGAATGTTCCGCTAAAAGCATATTTTTTATGTTTCTAGCAAAAATTTTGTGTCTTGCATCAAAGATAGGAAGTTGATTATTTTTTTCAAAAATCTGCAATTAATAGGGAATCTGTCAAAAAAAAGAAATCTGAGAAAAGTCGACCCAAAAAAAAGATAAAAAAATTTAAAGCCTACTAGGTCATACAATTTGAAAAAATCACAAAATTAACGATAACTTCTAAACTATGAAAAATCGTAAAACATACATGGGGGTGAAATCGATAGGTCTAGTCCTCACCTATCACCTGCCTTCGGCTTGACACCTTACAAGAAACACCCTGTATATATAGAAGATATTGGGTGGTGCTGAGAGAATTTTGTCAGGTAACTCTTAGTTACACATTAAATATTTACCAAAATAATTACACCTCTAGTCTCTGCATTCTTGCGCAGAAACACGATACCGTCGCAGAACCTACCATCGGTAAAGATATGACGTCACGGCTGCCAGGTACACAGTTAGCTCGATAAATTCAAATTCAAAATTATTTATTGTGAAACATAGGTATTTACAGATAAAAATATTACATTGTGATAGTCTCACTATATTTCGCCTGGTTGGCATACAATAATATAAGTGATTAATAAATCAATGAATAAATTAATAATTCACATGCATTAATGACACAAAACACTTGATTGCTTATTAAGTAGTCAAAACTTGTAGTAAAAGTTGTATGAAGCTTCGGAACGACATATTGGCTGGAGCTGAGAGAATTTTGATGGGTAACTCTTAGTTACACAATTAATGTTTACCAAAGTAAGCAGTTGACACCTCTAGTCTCTGGATCCTTACGTAAAGACGAAATACCGTCGCAGAACCTGCCGTCAGATTTTTAAGGTCAAATTGTTTGACTTAGCTCTTTCAAAGTAGTGGAGATAATTTTGTCAGGTAACTCTTAGTTACGTTACATAAGCAATTGACACCTCTAGTCTCTGGATCCTTGCGTAAAGACGCGATACCGTCGCAGAACCTACCATCGGATACGCCAGCGCCGTACCACAGGACCAGGAATACTGGCTCGTGGGTGCCGGGGAACGTACCGCACTCCATGGGGTTGGATCCACAGGTAATGTTTCCAGAAGTCCTGCAGGGTGTCCGTACTTTTAGTAGGTCCAGTCGAACACTGAGCGAAACCCTGAAAGTCCAGGTATTTCGACTATTCAGTTGTTACACTCTTGACAGCGAGCTCAGGAGTGTAATTTATGGTTGACGGATGTTGCTCGCCTTATGATTACTCTGTATCTTTCACTGTTGGTAATCAACTCAGTGTACTCATGCAGTGGACCACCGCAGTTTTGATTAGTCCATCGCATTGACGAACTTCGCGTGACCTGGTGCTCTATTTTAGACTAGCGGCCGCCCGCGTCTTCGTACGCGTGGATCCCGTTTTACCCCCTTAGTGGTGGAGTTTCGTAAAATCATTCCTTAGCGGATGCCTACGTCATAACATCTACCTGCACGCCAAATTTCAGCCCGATCCGTGGTTTGGGCTGTACGTTGATAGATCACTATGTCAGTCAGTCGGTCTAATCTTTATTGACCTTTATTTGTGTATGTAACTTGTAACTTTGTATACCCATTCTTATAAGATACACTATACAAGAATGCATGGGAAATTCAGTGAACTGCTCCTGAATCGAATGTACCTACTACTGCTATTTCTATTTATTTATATTAACCGGCAGACAGTGGTGACTGAGTTTGTTGCGGCGCACGGTGGTCCNTTAGGGGTCGCAAACCGGGATACCGAATTTCGAAAATACCGGAATACCGGGCCAAATTTAGGTTTAATTAATACCGGTATTCATTTCACAAAAACCGGGATTTTCGGTATTTTCGGTTTTAGTAAAATAAATAAAAAACAAATACAAATAGAATAATTTACGCGCCATTTAATTCAAAATACGCGCGCGCGAGTTCGTTTTGAGTTGATTGAGTGATAGTTGACGTAAACTCCGCCGCCGACCGACGTCCTCACACCTCTCATCGAAAACATCTGGATGGAGAAGGAACTCCCAGACGACTGGAATAAGGGGCTTTTAATTACTGTGCCAAAGAAAGGGGATTGGTTTTCTGCAAGATTATCTTTGATACGCTAAAGTGGGCAAGCATAATTATGGTCGCGACTCGCTGACATTGGTGTCCCGCCGAAAAATATCGATCTACTGAAGGCCATCTACAAGAAATATTCTTGTACGGTGACTCACGACGGCCTCATCTCCGAAGACATCGAGGTGCATGCGGGCGTCCGGCAAGGCTGCCTGCTTTCGCCGCTTCTCTTTCTGGTTGTCTTGAATGGAATCATGTGTCGTGCATATCAAAACCAATGGCGTGGAATAGAGTGGGGTATAATTGGAGTCTTAGAAGACTTAGATTATGCCGATGACATTTGTTTGCTGAGCCACACGCATCACGATATCCCATCCAAAATTGATGAACTACATCGAGAGGCGGGCATCACGGGGCTCAAAATTAACTGCCGAAAGACCCAAGATATGCGATCTGGAGTGAGGAATTGCACACCATTACGGATTGGTGCAGAGCATGTGGAACTTGTCCACAATTTTACCTACCTTGGGAGCGTCGTGTCAGAGACTGGAGGTACCAAAGATGACATCACTTCGCGCATTGCCAAGGCTAGAGCTACCTTCGCACAATTTCGCCCCGTATGGCAGTCACGGAAACTGATTTTTTTTTATTTTAATAAAAGTTGATGCATACGAGCGCGCGCGAGTGCGAGTCGTTGTTATGTGTCATCAAAAGTGTCCTTTATACACCATATTGTAATTCTGGCAATTTTTCGTGGAAATATTTAATATAAAAAAATCGATTTTTCAACCCTCGATAACTCAAAAGTACGCAGAGATAAGTGACAAGTATCTTCGCATGAAATACTCAGAATCACTTGTTTTATAACATGTGTGATCGGCATTTTGACATCGTTAAAGAATTTCGAAAAATTGACAGAAACGTAATTTCTTCCATACAAAAAATATGTATATATTTTTTTTTACTACGAAATAGACGTCGTAGGATTGTAATATTTTTTTGCCGTATTAGTTATCATAGCAGTAACCATCAAAAAAATTTTCGTGCCTCTAGCATCAATGTCCATGTTTTATTAAATCGGGACCACTGTGCGGCGCTTCTTCTCAGCACTTGCCAAATGTTGGTCTCGAAGCGCTGGTAGGGTAAAAAGATTATGAGACATGTAGAGGCTCCTTAAGAGCAAAATGACGATTTGTAAGAACTATTTATTAGTCTAAACAAATAAAGAAATGTTGACTTTGACTTTGTAACTATGTTGGTTTCCAGATACAGCAGCAGATGGCTCAAGCGATCTACATGCAGACGATGCTAGCGATGCAGGCCGGCGCGACTGATGCCCTCGCCACATTCTGTAACGGTAACTATAATCATTGGCGTATCTAGTTCTTTTTTTGGTCCTTTTTCAGCGGGGGCCTGGCCCAGCGTTGCCAGACGTCCCGATTTTGGCGGGACGTGCCGATTTTTAAATCAAATTTAAATGTCCCGCGCGGGACAGCCTCGGTCCCGCTTTTCGGAGAGAGACACTCACTTCACCAGACTATTGTTTGAAACGCCATATTATTCTAAAGAATAGTTTTTTTCTTTTTTTATTCTAAAGACGAAATTAACGATAGAGTAAATCTGATTTAAAATATTATTTTTTTGTTAAAATACATTTTCTATGGCTACTTTTGCTATCTATTGTCACGTAAACGTAATTTTAAGTCAAATAAAAAGATAAATATTTGAAAACCTTTGATTATATACGTTTTTTTACTATGTCCCGCTTCTGACGGAAGAATCCCGCTATTTTCACTCAAAAAGTACCGAAGTCCCGACTTGGCGAAAAAAAAACTGGCAACGCTGGCCTGGCCCCTGTTATGCCATGTCATGGTGCGATTATTTATTATTAGGTTAGCTCATGAGTTAGTTGGTACTATCAGGCCTGTTCATCTCCGCGAGTTTACATCGAAAACATAACACGCACAATGGCCCACCTACAGGATACTATTCGACAAGGCCTCACATACGAGCGAACATTGACTCACGCACGCGTATTCTTGTGTATGATGGAAGAAAATAAAGAAAATGGTGTACTAAATACTGTACAGTATTTAACTGCCTAAATAATAAAAACACAGAATGTACCTACTTTTTAAGTGGCCTAAAGACACTGAGAGGTAAATAAGTAGTTAATATTATTCATGATAATTCATGCTAAATCATGTATTTCCTCCGCCATTTTCCGCAGTTTGGCACCTCACGTCACATTTTACCGAAGTCAGCCCTATAGCTTCGGCGCAGTGCCGATCACTGACGTTTGTCAACAAAATGGTGCTTGACTCTTGAGACAGGCTAAATTACACCATATTGTTAATGACATGGAGCATACATATTTTTAAATACCTTCGCGAAGTAAAACTTCTGTACGTAGTACTTATTATTATTCTGTGGTACTATCATCTTCAAATCAATAGCCCAACATTCTTTGGGTACCAGACTATTATTAACTATTTTATGTAACAGTAACCATAAAAATTAAAAAAATAGTTGGCTTTTCCAGGGTTTCAAACTCTTCTCTTTATTATACCTACAAAATTGTATTAATTTAAACAGGTTTTAACGCGATACACGGATAGGTTTAAATTAATTCAATTATGCAACGCGAAAGTTTAAAATTAATTATTATAAAATTGTATTCAATTAAATGCTTCAGTGATTTATTAAGAGTAACAAACATCCATGCATCCTCACAAATTTTCTATTGTAGTAGTAAGATAACCATGTGCTTCAGAAGCAGTTTTTCCAGTAGGTTATAGAATAAGATCGCTTCTGCTCTTTCTGTCGATGCTTAAGCTATAATAAGTTACAAATATGTACTTATTACATTTGAAACTTTCGACGTACTTATACTGTCTAAGTAGCTCTGATGGGAGAGCCTTCGCCCGGCAAACTAAAGGTTGTGCAGTCAATGAGGATCAGTACTGTTGTAGAAAATTCAATAAAACTAGTATCTACGTTAATCTTTAAGACATAAGAAAGATATATCTTTTTGAATTATCCAAATCGGACCATTACTTACGAAGATATTAAGTAATAAACATAGGCCGTTTTTGCCGCTAAAAGTCAACGTACGCAGGGCCGCGTGACGTCACTATATCCGAATCGAGCGCAGCCGGCGTACTATTGGGATGGAAAATATTTTTTTCCAGCTAAACTATCAGTTTTAGAAAAAAACTTTTAATAACATTTATTCATCAAAATAAAGTACCCTATCGACCAGTAATTTTTAAAAATAAAAATTGTGAAAAATAAGTATAAACTGATAGTTTGGCTAGAAAAAAATATTTTCTATCCACGCAGTACGCCGGCAGCGTTCGGATCGGATATAATGACGTCATCGTCCCCGCGCCGGGCGGTCAGTGAACTTTTTTAGTAATTTGGCCATAACTTCGTCAATTTTTGTCGTAGAACAAAAATTTTTGGACTGTGTATTAAGGATTTCTTAGCCCTATAAATCTGCATTCACAGCTAAAAATCGAAATGATCCTCATTCTCACCTTGGGCAATACGACTTTTTAAGTTATTTAAGCCTTTGGAGAGGCCTTATTTTGAAATATTCAAACCTATAAAATACCAAACATTCCTGTTTCAGGTGTCCCAACACCAGAAGACTTAACCCCCCACACATCAACCGACGAAACGACAAACGACTCCAGAAACGACGACACTGAACCCAGAACTTCGTACAAATGTACAGAATGCTCAAAATGTTTTAAAGACCCCGACGTTTTCAAACTCCATCAAAGGATACACTCCAGAACTGAGAAAGAAAACTACAACAGCAACGAATCGAGGCAAGAAACATTGAAATCCAACCCAATACTGGCCAATCTGCTGAAAAATCAAGGTAACATGAATTTAGATGTAAGCACATCGATTCTGAGCATTGAAAACCAAATTATGACAGCGCTGGCTGCTAACATGGAAAGTTACATAAGGAATCTTATCCTAACACACAACGTTAAAGAGGCTGATAGTTGCAACCGAGTGGTTGATTCTTGCAAGCAAGAAAACGATTCGTGTAACCAAAAAAATGGTCAGTGTAACCAAGAAAATGATTCATGTAACCAGGATTCGTCCGATTACGACAGTAGAGACATAGAATCCGAGAGTAACTTAGTAATAGATGAAAGCGCACAATGAATTTAACAAAACATATTTTTAGAGTAGTTTTTTACAAATTATAAACGTCCCAGTGACCTTTTTAACATTTTTTGTTATTTGGAATTTATGAACTCCAAAATACTCTTAATAGGAATATATTGAATTTCCTTTTTGTGTAATGGCTACACTGAAATTCGTTGTCTATGGTAATGCACTCAACCAGAGACAATTTTTTGTCTATGGCCATTGGCCATTAGTTAAACGCTAGTGTATAAATATCCCACCTTAATATAAGTCTGATGTATAATAATCGGGGTCGTACGAGCTATATTAGAATTAGCAAACACCAATATAGTATTGGCTAAGCCTTCAAAAAGACTGTATATTAGGTTTTAGAAATTCTAGTGGCGTAAATACAGGGTGTCCCAAAATTTTCACGTCACACTGACACCAGAGGTAAAAAATGAGCTTAAGACGCATCTAACAAGTATATTAAGTCCATTTTTAAAAATAACTAATATGAGTCATATTTCAAAACAAACTTTTCTATGGAAAATATGGAAATGAATAAATAAAAGGTCATATCTTAAAACTTATGAAACTTTTATATGGACATATTAAGCTTGTTCGATGCGTCTTAGACTCAGCTACCTCCAGTGTCAGTGTGATGTGCTAATTTTGGGACACCCTGTATAATTAAAAAACTATGCAGTTTATAGCTATGAATATTTTTTGTATTATTATTCCATTTTCTTTCCTAAACTTCGATTTTTTGGCGAATTTCAATATCTACCCACCACGTGGGAAATATCATTGGAAAGAAGAGAAGATAGAGATGTTTTTAAGATCATTGGCAATCCATTATCACCTTGATTTTTTTTTAATCGAATCCTTTTATCGTGTTTTGTACTTTTGTTAAACTTTGGCGGCTCGTAACTAGCTATCCAATCATTATCTGGATCTGAAATTAATTTTATTTGACTAAAGACATATTCGAGATTAATATCAAATAAAAAAATCGGTGGAAAACACGAGAGAAAAAAAAATTTAAGCAGTTTTCAGGTCGAATTTCTGAAAAAATTAAATAAAAACAAAAATATCAATTAAAAAAAAAGTAGGTCACTTAGGGTCAAATGGGCGAACTTGTATTCTTAAAATGACCTTACCTATACACCCACGAAGTTTGTCTAACCTTCCGCCAAACACCCTGTATATTTAGATATTTACGCCACTAGATTCTAAAACCGACCACCACAGCTCAAAATGTGTTAATAAAGTTAGTTAATAACTGTGAATATCACTTATGATTATAGTAAGTTAATGTAGTATTACAAACCAGTGAAGAATCAAACGATTCGTTTTTTTCTGTAAATTTGGCAGATTTTTGTATGGAAAATATACTTATTCGTACAAAGAAATTAGGGCAATAAGCGATATAATGGAAAGGGTACTCAATATCCAGTTTCAAGTATTTAAAATATGTTTAAGTAGGTATTACAATTTGTATTTCCTGAACACTATAATCCGGGCCTTTTCAAGGAGAGAGTGAATAGGCACTTACAGGGCAGATATTTACCATCCTAGACTGCATCTCACTTAACACCAGGCAATCACTCCTGGAAATGCAGTGAGTTCCTGCTCTTAGGATGTAAAATAATTTTCTGTGTCAGACCCAGACCCAGAGGTCCTAAGTTCGATTCCCAGTGGAGGCAAAATATTCTGCTTGGTAGGGCTTGTTATAAGTCCGCCTGGCTAGCTACCACCGTCTTACCTAAGTCTGTCGCCATAACAACAATGTTAACAGCATTGTTGTGTTCCGGCAGTTGGAGGTAAGATAGCCAGTTCCTCTGTGGTTGAGGATTCCGGGTGAACCAAGTAATATGAAGATCATAAAGTCAATATACCTAGCGGAATAGAGCAACAAAGGACTGAGCGAGCGAGATGTCACTATAGTCTGGTCCGTGAGCACGTAGAATTTTGTCCAATGACCCCAAGCTACCCATCCTTATCGCTCGCGCGTAATTATGTTTCTATCGCGCTCGCACACTCACTGCGGGCGCGCGTCGCACAGTCGCGACAGCAATATAATTACACGCGAGCGATAAGGATGGGTAGCTTGGGGTCATTGGACAAAATTCTACGTGCTCACGGACCGGGCTTTAGCAGCAACAACAACACTGTGTGATAAAAAGAGACGCGAGATGCGAAGTAACAGAACCGTTTTTGCAACTATTTGACAGTTCGTTAGCACTTATTGGCACGCTGAAAATTGGAACACTGAGATTTTTTTCACATTTTATCGTTAATGTTTATGAGAAATAGTGCTTCAAAAATGTAGTGTGTGGTGCAGTGATTGATTAATGTACAAAACAGTGAAATAATCCTGAAAAGTTACACATAAATGACATTCTAAAATCTGTTTCGTTTGACAGCTCGTGGTTGTTGTTCTATTCCGAAGGAAATAAGGAATATTAACTTTATGGCCGGGATCTACCCATTTGTGGATAAAAGAATGCATAAATTGGCAACACCTACAAAATTAAATACATTATTAATCTCATTAAAAAGACTGCAAAATTCCCCTTAAGACTGCCCACCGACTTACGGCGCCCATCTTATTTGATGGTGTACCATAAAAATTAGAAACCTGATACGTTTAAGTATAATAGTGCCTTAGATTTTAGTAAGCGATGTATAAATATAACTTTTGTAAAAAGTAGCGCCCTCTAGTTTAGGTGTTTGTACTTACGCCACGGAGATGCGACATGTATAAAACCCGGTCTCCGAGCACGTACAATTTCGTCCAATGACCCCAAGCTACCCATCCTTATCGCTCGCGCGTAATTATGTTGCTGTCGCGACTGTGCGACGGGCGCCCGCAGTGAGTGTGCGAGCGCGACAGCAACATAATTACGCGCGAGCGATAAGGATGGGTAGCTAGGGGTCATTGGCCAAAATTCTACGTGCTCACGGACCAGGCTTTAATGAGTTATTTCTACAATAAAATATATTAATCTGTTAAGAAAAATAAAATGCTGGGCAGTTTTTTTTTAATAGAAACTAATATTGATTTTTAATCTTAGAACAAATGTTTTAACTTTCGTCGCATCTCTGGCATTTTTATGAGACTTTTTATACACTCCAATGTAATAATATTTAGTTAGTTTATGTTTTATTTTGCAATGCATAGACTTTTACCTTTTTTAGAGTAATTTTCAGGAAGTTCCGATACCTAACATTGGTTTTTGATTTGGAAGTAGACCGATTTTTTTAAAGTAAGTGCGTCCAAATTATGTAACATGTTATTAAATTGTGTTATACAACATGCCTACATTGTTATAAAACTGTTATTTGTAGCACAAGTCGTCCATTATTATAACATGTTATACATAAAACTATGTTTTATAACTCATTCTAACAGACGCTAATCTGTAAGAATACGTGTAAATTATGTAACATGTCATATAACATGTTACAAACTGTCTTATTATTAGTAGCACACATCGTTCGTTCTTATAAAACATGGTTTTAAAATACATTAGTCTGGACAAACCTTATCTTAGCGCCTGTAAGAATGTAACATGTTATATAACATGTCACAAACTGTCTTATTAGTGGCACACGTCGTCCATACTTATAAAGTTGACATAATTATAACATGTTATAAGTGTTACATAGTCTGGACACCTTAAATCACTTATTATTGATTTGGGTTTTGGAATTAATCTGTAATTAATAACAGATTATTTTTGTATTGTCTGTAAGGTTCAGAATGCAATGATTCTGTTATTTCCAATAGAAGCTATCACCCAGTATTTAAGACTGTATTTTCTGTGAAATCATGATCTCCTTTTTATTTAGTAATAAACAATATTACACTTTTTTGCGTTTTATTGCCAGTTTAATTTACGAAGTAGGTACAGTCAGCGTCAAATAGTTCGTGACACCCAAAGTAGCCAAAAGATCGCAACACGTCTTTGTCACAATGAGGGCTATCGTTTTTATACTTAACAGTTGGCACCCCTGGCGATTGACAGGACCTTACTCTACAGTGGCGCCATCTTGATGAGTGCAAATGCGATAGTCCTCCTACCACTTTAGCGCTCGCCAGTTGGCGCCACTGTCTTCGCTACTAGCAAGTGACAGGACCTTACTCTACAGTGGCGCTAACTGGTGAGCGCTAAAACGATAGCCCTCATTGGAATGAGGTTGTGTTGTCAAGTTTTTGGCCACTTTGGGTGTCAGGAACTAATTGATGCTGACTGTACCCAAGGTTGCCAGATCCAAGGATCCTATTATCGGGAGAAAACAACAATTTTTGAGTCGAGAGGACGCACAAAAAATCGGAAGAATCCTGGTGAATCCCGTCTATCCACACAACCACATAGACTGTGACAGTCGTTAACAGAATGTGTATTTCTATAGCCGCTAACAATAAGTATAATCTTAGAATAAGGCAATAAGATAAGATCCCAATCTTAACAAGTAGTACGTAAGTACAACGGCTAAATAATCTAACAAAGAAATTAATTTATTTAAAAGTTGTAAAGAGTATTCCATTGTACCTACGAGACAACAACATAATAATATTATGTACATTTCTTCAAACACTTAAAATGACACGGCATTTCTCTCGAAACTAAACATAGATCTTTGGCCAAGGGCGTAATTTATTAGCTACAATAAATAAAAGTATAGTTACTAAAGTACCTTTAATTATGTCGTCAAATAACAAATAGACTAGCCTCATGCTCGTTGCCAATCAATTAAGCCAAGGATGCAGGTAAAGCACCTTCCAAAGACAAAATAGCCTAAAATAGAATATTAACACTTCTCTATGGCTGTAATTTTTGGTCTGTGGTGTTAATTTTTTAACCGACTTCAAAGAGGGAAGTTCTTTATTCTACTGTATGATTTTTTTTTATATCTGTTACGGCTAAAGATAGTTGTGAACATAAACTTAAGATTAGCCGGCTAAACTTAAGTTTATCTTCGAGAAGCAGCTAAAGTTCGATAAAATGTTAGTTTGCGTCGTGATATTCCATCTTTAGCCGGCTAATGTGCACATTAGCCAAAACGAAATGGCTAAAAATGTATTCGATGGGCGCTTCAGGCCGGCGGAGTTCTTGAGGGGGCGGGCGGGGGGAGACAACGAGCGCAGTTTTATTTTGTAATTTTAAATACCTACCTACAGAAGATTCTGTAATGACCAAATGGTTCCTTATTACTTTATTGTAATGATTAGGTAGATATTGTTTTGAGTACCTAATTAATATTTTGTTATTGTAATAATTGTAATTTTGAATACCTACATAGGTACATAAAAGTATGTGTAATGAAAGTGATTATTTTTTAATGAAGGTTTCGTGTCAAAATAGTAAACATTATTATATTGTTTCCTTTTCCATTTCCTTCTACATTTTTAGCCAAGGTCCTGCGGTTACACTTAAGTTTAGCCGGCTAAAGATAGAAGAAACTAACAT